TTTTTACCGTTTTAAAAAGTTGGGGTGGGGGTATGGATGGGTAATGCAATCCCCACCCTGGTTTCATCCTCGTCCTCACCCGACTTTATATTTAAATATAAACCTTAAATTATTAATCTTTTTAAAATATTTCTTTTTTTCACATTATATTTAAGATAATTTATTCTATATTTCACACTCTTTACTTTTCTCCTACCTACTTTTCATTCTTTTGTTTTTTTTTTCAATCTTTTCAACCAATCAGATCATTATATTATTCTTTATCTCTCACATTTGTTCCTTCACATTTTCTTAATTTCTTCAATCAATTTGGTTTTTCCAATTTCTTCATCTAATGTGATAAGTATTCTATATCCAGATAAAATAATGGTTAAATATTTATTTTACATACATATATTATATATATATATATATATATATATAATAAATTAAAATATATACCTAATTACTAATACTAATTAAAAAATTATAAAATTACAAATATTTATTTTCATATAAAAAATAAATGAAAAATATTAAAATAATTTATTATAAGTATAATTATTTTTTGAGGTTTTGAAGTATTGTAAGTTCATTAAAAAAATGAGAAAATAAAAAAAAATGTGAAAGCTAAGTACAAGCTTAATAAAAGTCTTTTTTATCTTTAGTTTGCATGTGTTTCGACTAGAGAAAATTAGAGGTTTTTCAAGCTTATGGTAATGCTTACTTTCATAATATGTCATTGAGTGTAAATACAAATTCTACCATTTGATTCATAATTTAATTTCATTATAGTTCATCTTTATTTATATATTTTGGAATATATTCTTGATTGTTTTGGTTCTTTGATACTTTGGATGTTGGATTCATTTTCACTTTGCTCACAACATTAAGCACGTTTTTCAATATTTTATTGTTTTCATTTTCATAATTTTTTTTACTATTAGGGTTTGTTTTGATAAATGTTTTAATTCCATATTTTTCTCTTATTTGACCTTTGTTCATTGTTTTGACCATCACTTTGTAAATATACTTTTTGACTTATTCTTGTTTCATTAGTGTACGTGATGAAGATCTTATTGAAATACTCTGACAAAGATCATATTGATTTGATGAAGTCAAAGATAAAGTCAAAGTCAACTTTGTAGCGGTCAACAATCACTTAGATAAAAGAGTAGAGAGATTAGTGTGTCTGCTGCTATGCTTAGGTATAATCATTTTTATATTTTCTGCTGCATGAGGTTTCTTCACTTAAAAGATTTTGCAAAATGCCTCTAAAATCGTTTAAACAAGTTAAAAATAAAGTATTTTGACAAAAGCTTTCTTAAACAAGTTTTTAACTGATACAGTTTTGAAATAACCGATTAAAATCACTTAGAATGTTCAGAGAAGTGTTTTTGCAGTATTTTAATCGATACAACTTGGTTTTAATCGATTAAATCCACTTAACATTCAGGATGATCGATCAGAATGCAATTATGACCAATTAGAATCAGATATGATCGATCAGAATTGAGTTATGACCAATCAGAATCAGATATGATCGATCAGAATTGAGTTATGACCGATCAGAGATTTTTCAATCGATTAAAACACGTTTCAATCGATTAAAACAACTTAGAAAATTTCTACACAGCGTTTTAATCGATTAAAACTTATTTTTATCAGTTAAAATAACTTGGAAAGTTTTACAAAGAAGTTTTGCAGTATATTAATTGATTGAATCGCGAAACAATCGATTAAATCAAATTAGAAGATTTTTTGTAAAGAGTTTTAATTGATATAAACGTTGTCGTATCAGTTAAAACAAATCTGTTAAAGAATCAAGAACGTATTAATGGATTAAAAGAAGTTTTAACAGATTTAAACTACACTTTTAATAGATTAAAAGAATCTTTTAACAGATTGATTAAACCAGCAGTTTTTAAAATCTTCTATAAAAACAGTTTGGCTTGAACATTTTAAACACAACAATTGAATATCAATCTTTAGCAATCAAGCAAGCAAACTTTAGCACACTTTCAAGAAAGATTCGCGCCAGTTTTTGTGAAGTTCTTTGAAATTCTTTCTTGAGGCAAAATGTTTTCTTTTGAAGAAGAAACACACTGCAGAATTGCATAAAACTGGTTTGAGCATTCTAGTTTCTTCTTTTCATTTCTTTACATTCTTTTTGTATTGTTTGGTGCCTGGAATTGTGGGCACTGGTTTCTCTGCAGCTGGAATTTGGTTGTAGAGGTTGTCAAGAACTAGAATTTGGTTCTTGGTGAAAGGTTAGGTGCAAGAACTGGAATTGTGGTTCTTGTGGTAGATTAAGTGTAAGATTGTAATCTGTAAAACATTTGATCTAGTGGAACCCAGCTGGAATTTGGCTGGAGACTGGACGTAGCCCTGGTATTGGGTGAACCAGTATAAACACCGGTGATATCTTTCTAAACCTTTCTCCTATTTTAATTCTGCTGCTGCGTTTATTTTTGATTGCTTGCTTTGTGATTCAAGAACAGATCTGAAATCTTATTTTTACAAATAGATAATCTGTTATTTGCGAAAAACTTTCAAAGATCAATTCACCCCCCTCTTGATCTAAAACTACTTTTCTAACAATTAGATTCGTTATTTCTAGGGCTTCAATATTTGTGCAAATGGAGAGTACTTCCATGGAGGACTAAATTGCTCTTTACCAATTGATTCACATGCTCTGAGTTTGTTCATCCTTTTTCTAATTCTTAGAATTGCATGTCATGATTATGATTTGCTTTGGTTTGGTTTGCATTAAAATTTAAATTAGGTTTCAAATTAAATTTTTATTTCATAATCAATTGCAAGTTAGGTTAAAAGATTGTTTGAGTTGATTTGTATAAATTGTTCAAATATGGTTTGATGTTTCATTAGACACAAATGATATTCCAATTCATATGCATCAGGGTTTATAGATTGATGTTTTAAATTTTCGTTTCTTCAATCAATTTAATTTCTTGCATTTAGAATTTTGTATTTTTGCACCTACATTCATTTTTTATTCCTTGCATTTACATTTCAATTGCAAATTTAATTCATATGTTATTAAAAATTATTGCTCTTTTCATTTCCATTTCAATTTTCATATCTTGAATTTATTTTTGGTTCGTGTTTAAATTTCAATTGTTTTGCATTTAAAACCAAAGATTTAATCTCAAAAACCCCTACTTTAACTTGCATAGGAAGGATATGAGAAAATGAATACAATTGATGTGTTTTTGAGTGAATCAACCTAGGTTACCATTTATATTGTAAATTTTTTAGGAAAACATAGAATATTTTGAGCGCATTGTGGTAGTGAGTTTCATACCATAGGAGCAAAAGTCTCTTCAAAATTAACATCGGGTAGTTGTGAATAGCCCTCTACAACAAGTCTTGCTTTATTTTTTTGGATTAAGCCATCCGAATTATGCTTTACTGTGTCCACCCATTTCACACTAATAAGTTCTTTTTCATTTGGCTTCTCAATCAACTTTCATTCCTTGTTCTTTTCAATTACATTAATTTCTTATTTCATGACCTTCTTCCAAGTTTCTTCTTTAATTCCTCTTCAAAATTTCCTACTTCTATAGTAAAATAATTTCACCTTGCATAAATATCACTCAAACTCTTTACTTTACTTTTTAAGGAGTTGAGCTTGGAGATGATAAACTTGAACTTGAAGAACTTGATGGTGATGAGGAATTTGGTGTATTTGGAGTCAATTCCTTACTTTCAACGACTGAATTATACTACAGAATTGTTGAAATTGTTTTGTCTTCCACCTTTCTTTATTTTCAATTCCAGAAAACCTTCTAATCCACTACAAGAAAATAATTTATTACCGACGGATACGTAGACGTCAGAAAATTAATGATTACCGACGGAAATTACCGACGGATATTTAGACGTCGGAAAATTAATGATTACCGACGGACATTACCGACGGATATAATAAATTTGTAGAATTTGGTCTTACCGACGGATATATCCGTCGGTAAATGAAGAATAAATTACCGACGGATATATCCATCGGTAAATTAACAATTAATTATATCACCCTTAAGCCCGCACGACCAGCACCACTCCCATCCCTTTCTACATCTCATTCGCTTCTCCTCTCCCACTCATCCTCAAGCCTAGATCTGCGCAGCACAACCACTTCCAGTCATCACCGGCAGCCAACACGTCTCCACTAATGCCTATTGTGAGCCCTAACCAACCCCCGCGAACCATCACTACCAATTGTGCCCCAATTTGATTTGTGACCCTCTCATTGCAACCGGTCATTACCTCACCGGTCCTCCGCCATCACGCCAACCACCGCGCACCTTCGAACCACCATCCAACAACACTCTCATTCCTTTCTTGATCTCATTCACTTCTCCTCTCCCATTCATCCTCAACCCTACATCCGCGCGCTACAGCCACCTCCAGCCATCACCTGCAGCCAACACGTCCCCAATAGTGGCTATTGTGAGCCCCAACCAACCACCGCAAACCACCATTACCAGTTGCGCCCTAATTGGATTTGCGACCCCTTCATTGGAAATGGTCATTACCTCACCGGTCCTTCACCACCACGCCAACCACCGCGCACCTTCGAACCACCATCCAACACCACTCCCATTCCTTTCTCGATCCCATTGATTTCTGTTGTTCCACTCATCCTTAACCCTAGATCCGCGCACAATAACCACCTCCAGCCATCACCAGCAGGCAACACATCCCCAATAGTGGCTATTGCACCCCAATTCGTGAGCCCCAACCAACCACCGCGAACCACCACTGCCTGTTGCACCCCAATTCGTTGCAGGTTTTGTACCTTCCTTTGCTTGGTTATGGTTTTTAATTTTGTATTGTTTTGATTTTCTCCAACTCATGAATTTCCTTATTTATGCTGAAAATTTGATCAATGCGCTTAGATAAATGAATTGGAATGATTCTGTAGTTTGTGTGTTTTTCGTGATTTGAGATGCTTGGTGTTCAATGTCAATACTGAAACTGTTGATCAAGTAGCTTAGCCAATGAATGGAATGATCTCCAAGTTTTCTGTTCCTAGACTCTAATCAATTTTGGAAACAAAAACCACCACGCACGCCAAAGAAAGATTCCATGATTAACAAAAGGTCCACACGGAGATCACTTGAAAGGAAGAATGACTTCATAGCCACTGAAATGTTCCATATGCCATGCAAGCTACGAAATCATAAAATTTTTTCCACTAGACAAATTTTTCCCCCTATTTCCTTTTCTACGTGAATCATAACCAATTTTAGTCAATTTTAACTGCACTCATGAGCAGTTCCTACTCTTTTTTTTAATCCCTGAAAAAATGAAAAAAAAAAATTAAAAGCGAAGAGCTTGGTCTTCAACTTTTGCACGCCTCCTTCCCCTGGGAGGTGTGAGCCATTATGGGACCACGTCTTTTTCTTAAGATGATTAAAGAAATTACAAGTTGAGGTGTATGTATTATAGAATAGTAATTCAATTAGGTTGGTGCGTTTGGTGAATACTTAAGCCTAGTCTAATATTTCAAAATGAGCACTGTAGCAATCATTTAGTTTAATCATTAGTATGGTTCTTCAAGAAAACATATACATGCAGAAAAGGTAAAGAAGGGAAAATGGTGGGGGAGGAAATAACCTGTTGCCAAGTTGAGCATGAAGATCAATGACCATTTTCTCTTCGTAGTCTGAAAGAAGGCCTCTCTTTAAGTCTGGTCTAAGGTAATTTGTCCACCTGAGCCTGCAACTCTTCCCACACCTTAATAGTCCTGCATGGAGTCACATCCCAATTGTTAATCTTAGTTTCAGCAAAGTGATTGTTTCTGCCTAGCATTTGTGTTCAAAGTTACAAAATTAACATGAAGGTTGTTTTCTTCAGAAGCCAAGGGAAGAATTTATGACCCTCCTTTTCCCAAATAAAACAGAATAAGAAAGACATTCAAGTACAAACATTTGTTGTCTTCTTGCAGTTAAAATGCTTAAACATGTTTTGATGAGTAGTTCTGAAAGGTGAAATGATATCCCAATTCTGAGTGGTGCTTGATGGAAATCAAATATGAACAGGGGAATGATCACACAAAGTTTATTGAATGAAATCCTTAAATTCCGGAAAAGTTGATGTATTTCTGTGATATTCTTGGTTTGCTGAGTTGATTTATTTCTTCATGTTTGATTTAGCTGAATTCCGGAAAAGTTATTGTTGTTGGACCTGACATTCACAGTAAGGATGGGAAGCTAATTCCAGTGGCTGTGAACGAAGGCGATACTGTTCTTTTGCCAGAGTATGGGGGAACTGAGGTGAAGCTTGACAACAAAGAGTATGTATATGTTTTTTATGTCCTGTTATTAGCTTATTTTTTAGGCTCATATAATTCTTCCACTTTATCCTAAAGTTTAATACGGTAGATATAAATGTTGATGGTTACACTTGAGCTTTGTTAATTTTGTGTATATAACACCTGGAAGATTTATTTCCTTGTTCCAAAGTTGATTGATTCCTTTTGGTCTAAATTCTACTGGGTACTGTCTTCTTTGTGAATCATTGTAACAAGTTTCGAAGAAGGAAACCTTATGCATTTATGCTTAATATTGTGTATCCAATATTTAGAATTTCTTTGTTTGATGCTTCATACATTATGTAATCTGATGTTTCTTTTGTATATGCCTAGATATAGAGCTATAGGACTGAAACTGTTATTGGAGTTTATCAATAATTTCTTAGTCTTTATGAAGTATAGCATTAGTATTATAATTTAAGGATTTCATTCAATAAATCCTTGTGTGATCAGCTTTATTTAAGAAATGATCTAACAATAGGAGCAATGAGAAGAGACCTGCAAGCTTAGGGACAGCTCTCCAGCAACATTGGCCATTGGTGAGGATTAAGCTGATGAGCTTCTTATCCTCCTCTGCAGTCCATGGCCCCTTCTTCAACCCAACTTTATCACAACATGGTTGCCTTCCCATTTTATTCCAAAAGGGAAAATGCTACAAATCCAAGTTTTGAATAGCAATCTCTGAACACTTGAGGTTCAAATTGAGAGTGTCACAGATTGACAGAGAGAAAGAGAGACTTAAGAAAAACAATAGAGAGAGTTTAAGCGAACTAAGTTAGGATAGAGCACCACCACCTACTTATTTATAGATAGAAATCAACCCCTCCAAACGCCTAAGTAGCTAAAAGTCCTCAAACCCCACTTTACATAAATTACAGTATGTTTATTTAGACTTTCTTTTTGCGCAATTAAGACCAAAAAATGGCAGAAGGATGACTTAATGGGAGAGGGAGGAAGAAATTAAAGGCATTTATCATAAGAAAATAAAAACTAAATAAACCAATATTCTAAAAATGTTATTAAAACGTCACTGTTGTAGGTTAAGTCTTGGCAAATCAGACACCAAACAAAGGCTCCTCAAGCTGCAGGATTATCCATACTGATTTTTGAAAGGGGATTTATTTGTCCTGAGGTGAGTTCAATTCATGAATATTGACATTTCTTGATTTAACCTTGTTCATTCTTCCTTTTATATAATTGTAGTTATTCAATTCGCATTAAATTGGATTTGACAACATAAAAGTAGCTTAATATTATTATGTTGAATCCAATGTTTAGATTGGATTTTGTTTCAATTGATGTGAAGTGCAATTTCACTATTTGTCTAAAGTCTATAGGAAATTTCATTTGTATCAACTTTTAGAAAATATAAAAGTTTTAGTTGAGTCTTTTCACTCTATTTGAAAGATAGTTGAATCAAAATCTAATGGTCGATTTCTTTCAAACAATTCCTTCAATTGATCTTATTCTCTTCAATATTACAGAACATGGATGGTATTTCTTTCAGTCGCAGTTGGATGTATGATAGATGTTATAGTGGTAGAAGAGGTTTGAAAGAGTCTTTTGTTATAGGGGTTGAAGAGTTTATCAGAACAGCACGACAATATGAGCATTATGAACGTGATGGAGGGATTAGATGTCCATGCGCTAAATGCGACTGTACAAAGATTTTGAAGGATGAAATCGTCAAAGTTCACCTTTACAAGCAAGGGTTCAAAAAAAACTACTAGATTTGGGTCGATCATGGTGAACAAATACCTCATGTTGAAGAGACTTTTGATCACAATTATGTACATAGTTCAAGTAGTGGTGCACACATGCCTCAACAAGACCAATTTATGTCAATGCAAGAGATGATGTACAATTCTCTATTGCAACATCATTCATTTGAAGGACCCGAGTTGGTTAATATACAAGAGCCACCAAATGAAGCAACTCAAAGGTTCTATAATTTGTTGGCTGAAACAAATAAACCCTTATTTGAAGGGGCGGAGGACTCAAAATTGTCTATATGTGTTAGACTTTTAGCTTGCAAGTCAAATTGGAACATTCCTGACCAATGCTTAGACTTTATGACACGAATGTTGTTAGATGTCACACCTATAAAAGATGGTTTGCCCACAACTTATTATGATGCTAAGAGATTAGTATCAAAATTGGGATTAGAGGCTAAGAGGATTGACTGTTGTGTCAATGGGTGTATGCTTTTCTACGACAATGATTATGGAAAAAAAGATGCGACATTAGTTGAATGTAAATTTTGTCAAACACCAAGATATCACAACAATAGCACTGGAACAAGTCACAAAAAGCCAGTCCCAATAAAAGCCATGTTTTACTTGCCTATAATTCCAAGATTACAAAGAATATTTGCATCAATGCAAACTGCTGGACAAATGACTTGGCACCATGACAATAGAACTTCTGGTGTGTTACGCCATCCATCAGACGGTGAAGCATGGAAGTACTTTGATAGGAAACATCCTTCTTTCGCTGCTGATCCACGCAATGTCAGACTTGGATTATGTTCTGATGGATTTAACCCATATATCCAAGCTTCATCTTCACCTTATTCTTGTTGGCCTGTGATTGTTACCCCATATAATCTTCCTCCTGATATGTGCATGTCAAAGCCATATATGTTTTTAACTTGCCTAATTCCGGGTCCATCTAATCCGAACGCCTCTAAAGTTGTTGGTTTGACTCGCATCGAAGGTTCTTACGTAATGATCATCCTTTTAGAAGGAATATTAATGCTTTTCGGAAGGGGGAAGTTGAAGTAGATGGGCCGCCTCCTAGGCTAACACCTACAGAAGTGTGGTCAAGAGTAAAAGATTTTCCAAAAATAACTGAATGTGGTGTGACAAGGATAGAAGGATATGGAGAGTGGCATAATTGGACAAAAAGAAGCATATTTTGGGATCTCCCATATTGGAAAGATAATTTGTTGAGACACAATCTTGATGTTATGCACATAGAGAAAAATTTCTTTGATAATATTTTCAACACTGTGATGAATGTAAGTGGCAAGACAAAAGACAATGAGAAAGCAAGAAAAGATATAGCTTTATATTGTAGGCGTAGAGACTTGGAGTTGAAGGCACAAGCTAATGGGAAAATGTTAAAGCCTAAAGCAAACTACACATATAGTACTAAGCAAGCAAAAATAGTTTGTCATTGGATAAAAGAACTTAAGATGCCAGATGGTTATTCTTCCAACTTAACAAGATGTGTTGATGTTCAAAAAGGGAGGATTCATGGCATGAAAAGTCATGATTGTCATGTATTCATGGAGTGTTTACTTCCTATTGCATTTAGTGCATTACCAATACATGTTTTAAATCCTCTTATTGAAATTAGTCATTTTTTTAAAGATTTGTGCTCTGCAACATTGAAGAGAGAAGTGCTAATTAGAATGGAATAAAATATTCCAATTATTCTTTGTAAGTTGGAAAGAATATTTCCTCCTGGATTCTTTGATTCAATGGAACATCTCCCTATTCATCTGGCATATGAAGCTTGGCTTGGTGGACCTGTGCAATATAGGTGGATGTATCCATTTGAAAGGTATTAACATGATTGTCCCATGCCTTTTAAATGTCATTCTTATTACACTTATCAATCATAATATTGTTGTTTAATTCATTAGATTCATGGGCGATTCAAAACGATCAGTGAAAAACAAGGCCAAAGTTGAAGGATCAATTTGTGCAGCTTACCTACATCGTGAGACAACTTATTTTTGTTCTCATTATTTCAACAACTTCATGTTATTACCACGACAACGCAGAAATGAAAAGGAATTTCAAAGCCAAACACAAGTTTCAATGTTATCAATCTTCCGACAAGTTGGTCATCCTTCAGGACGGGAGTTAAGTCACTGGTTGACTGATGCTGAATTTAAATCCGCTCATGTTCATATATTAATCAATTGCGTTGAAGTTAAACCATATCTTGAGTAGGTTTAAATAACATTATTTTTCAATTTCTTTGTCAAATTTTCTACGACTTTCAAATTGACTGTTGAAATGCTCTACTATTGGCTAGTTCATTCTTGCAGTCAGAACAAATAACTGAATCACAGGCTTCTGCTCGGATACATGCAAATTTTCCTACATGGTTCAAGGAGCAAGTATGAATCTTATAATTCTATTTTAAATATATTTTAGATATAGTAATGTAATATTGGATGTCTCTTAAATTTGTAGATCCACAGTGAGCCATGTACGATGAGAAATCAAGACTTAAGAGATTTGTCCAATCATCCCATGAGATGTGTTAAAGAATGGCACACATACTTTGTGAATGGATACAAATTTCATACAGATGCATGGAACAAGGGGAAAAAGACGATAAATAGTGGAGTTTATGTTAAGGGTTTGACAGAAAGTGGTGAAGATGATTTTTTTGGGATAATTATTAAAATATATGAGTTGGAATACAATTCTTCAAGTTATCCCAAAAAAGTTGTGCTTTTTTACTGTGAATGGTTTGATCCATCTAGAAGAGGTACAAAAGTAGATCCTAAATATAATATTGTAGATATTCGAATGGGTTTAAGATATGAACCATTTGATCCATTTATCCTTGCACATAATGTAAGACAAGTGTATTATGTCCCATATCCATCATTTCGAATAGATAAACGTGGTTGGTGTGTTGCAATCAAAACAAAACCAAGAGGTCGCATTGAATGTGATGGTGTGGAAGAGGATGTCCCTTACCAACTAGATGAAATGTTACATGGTAATGAAGTCATTGAAGTTGAAGGTATATTTGGTTTACAAGACTTTGACATTGATCCTGAAGAATTGGAAGAGGAAGAGCAAGGGGAGGAAGAAGAGCAAGATGAAGAGGATCAGGAAAGTCAAGAGGAAGAAACCGAGGATGAAGATGAAGATGAGGATGAGGATGAGGATGAGGATGAGGATGAGGATGAGGATGAGAATAACGATGACGATGATGAAGATGAAGAATAAGAAGAAGACTTTTGTTTTCCACATAATTAGGACAATTATGTCATATAATGTTTATTTTATAACTAGGACATATTGTATCCAGATTTGTTATATGTAATGTTATTAAGTGTTTTTACTTAATTTGATATATGTTTTTACATCATTATTTATGTCTAATTTTATTTTCCTATAGATATGACTACAGGAGGGTCTAACTCACCTAAACCTTCACCCAATGGTGGGAATAAAGGGAAAGCAATAGCGAAAAAAAAGAGGCCACGTTATGTATTGAAGGTACTTCCCACAGACATACTGTCTCCACTTGCTACACCTCATCCATCACCATCCTCTATGGTAGGGTCTACACCATCCCCTTCTGTTATGCCTACTATACCCACACCACTCGACAGCACCATCCCCTTCTGTTGTGTCTACTATACCCACACCACCGACAACACCATCCACTTATGTAGTACCATCTATACCATCCTCAACCCGATTCCGACACCCACCTTATCCCCAGCCCTAGTTGTGGGACCCAACTCATCTCCATCGAGCATCCCCTGCTACGATGGCAGGTCCTTCCACCTCGCAACAACATCCACCTACACGATTCCATCCCCACAGATTGCAGTTAGAACATCACAGTCTAGTGGGGAT